AGTTCAGCCTGTTTGTCAGTGTTTAGTGCTGACAGTTCAGCCTGTTTGTCAGTGTGTAGTGTTGACAATTCAGCCTGTTTGTCAGTGCTTAGTGTTGACAGTTCAGCCTATTTGTCAGTGTGTAGTGTTGACAGTTCAGTCTGTTTGTCAGTGTTTAGTGTTGACAGTTCAGTCTATTTGTCAGTGTTTAGTGTTGACAGTTCAGTCTGTTTGTCAGTGTGTAGTGTTAACAGTTCAGTCTATTTGTCAGTGTTTAGTGATGAAAGAAAAGTAACTCACTACTGTTAAGAGTTTAAAAAGATATATTTTTCTTCATTAAAAGCAAAACTTTACGTGTTATTTACCTATTTTTTGTATCTTACATAAAATGATCGGTATGAAATGCTCAGATGTCAGTATGGGCTTCTGACAAACAAACATACTAATTATTTATTTCTCTCACATTTATTTTAGGGAAGTGTTTTGCCCACCTGGAGAACCAGATCTTTATCCAAATGAAGTGAAACCTTTTTTTAAGGGTGGAGAGTGTGCATAATTCCGAAAATAATAAAATAAAATATACAAACAAAATTGATGCTCTGTTTAAAAAAATGATTGAACTTCTTAAAAGTAGTTGCAAAAAGTAGTGCCTCTCCTCTTTGATTGTTTGTATTATTTTCTGTAATTTTTTATATTATTATTTCATTTATGGTATTTTTTATTCCTTCGGGTTTACCCAAAATTACTGATACTTTCAATCATAAGTTTTTAATGGAATATGAAATTACTTTATTTGTATAACTTAACTGCTAGAATATTTTAACACCTCTCTCTGATAAGCAATTTTCGTAAGCAACTTTTCTTTATGGACATTTACAAAACATTTCACATTAGACTTATCCTATCTTCGCCCCTTCTTTCTATATTTCCATTTAAACTCTGATGTTAACAGTTCTTGTTTCATTAGGTAATAAGTAAGCCTGCACAGTGTCTAAAGTTTGGATTTATTTTTGTTATGTAAACATTCTCTTGCACATTTTCTTGATGTCATCTAAAATAAATATACATGTTCAATTGGTACTGGTATGTTCTTTCCTTGCTGCTATATATAAACAACATGGTGTTAAATTTGTAACTTATGTTTAAAATTATAATACTGACAACTTTACACGTTTAAAATAGTGTTGATTAATGTATAACAAAAACTACTTCTAGTTGTTGAAAATCCTTGTAATTACTAGATGCATTTCCCAGGATAACAAAAACTAGTTCTAGGTGTTGAAAATCCTTGTTATTACTAAAATTATTTCCCAGGAGAACAAAAAATACTTCTAACTGGTGATGGCTTTCGTTATTACTAGAAATATTTCGCAGGATAACAAAAACTAGTTTCATATGTTCTAGTCATTACTAGAAATGTCGGGAAATAAATCCGATCTTACCTATAAAAAGAAATTCCACATTGACACTAATGCTGAAGTTTTTTTACTGAGAGGTATCGTCTTCTTCAAAAGATGATACAGAATTATTAAATCTAAAATAAGACGTCCTCTGCACTTAAAAGAAAAAAACTTCCGTTATTGCAAAAAGCAAGAGTCTCTTATAATGTTGCATGAAAATATAACTCGTGAAGTTTTCCTTACTGTTGCATGTTAATTGAAAAATTCTTGGGCCGAGTGTCGTTCAGTGGTTAGTGTGCCAGACTATGGAGCTGCGGATCCAGTGTTCGCTTCCCCTTATTGCCAAGTAGAAATTGCGCTCTGCATTTTGGTATGCTATAAAAGCGACAGTCAAGTCTCACTATTCGGTCAAACATGATAAGTGTAAGAGTTAGCGTTTGGTGCTGTTGACTAGCTGCCTTCTTTGTGTCTATCAGTTCAAAATGAAGGACGGCTAACACAGATTGCCCTTGAGAAGCTTTAAGCGAATATCAAAACGAAACACACGATATAAAGCTTTCTATGTTGTCGTTTGCAGATATAATGCCTGGAGTTTTCTATATTGTTGTATTTGGATGCAAAGCGGGATTTTTTTTTATCGTTGAGTTTTTTCACACTAGAAGTTAAGCGTTTATCTTAACAGCCTTGTCATTATCAAGTTAGTTTTATCATTAAACTTTTGTCATGCTGGAAATGAAGTGTTTTGCCATTACACTCTTGTTATACTGGAAGTAAGGTGTTTATCTCAACACTGTTGTTACATTAAAGTCTTTGATCATTATACTCTTGTCAAGCTACAAATAAAAGTCTTATCATTACCCTCTTGCCACAGTAGATGTAAAATGTTTATCTCAACACTGTTGTTACATTAAAGTCTTTTATCATTATACTATTGTCACATTAGAAGTAAAGTGTTTTAGCATTATACTATTGTCACATTGAAAGTAAACTGTTGTATATTATATTCTTCTCACAATAAAAGTAAGATGCTGTATCATTATTCTCTTGTCAAGCTACAGGTAAAGAGTTTTATCGTTACACTCTTTTCATGCTAGGAATGAACAGTCTTTGTTTTTACGTAACATACTAAAAATTCATAGTTACTGAAACATTAAGATAATATAAAGAAAAATTCATAGACATATTTCAGACCATCTAACTGTGAAACAAAATGCTTATTAAACTTCAATATGTTCTAAAGGTCTCCCATAACTTCAGGTATAAGACATGTAAAACAGTTAAAAAATGAGATTGAAAGGATAGTGTTCTCCTTGTAAAACAGTTAAAAATGAGATTGAAAGGATAGTGTTCTCCTTGTAAAACAGTTAAAAATGAGATTGAAAGGATAGTTCTCCTTATAAAACAGTTAAAAATGAGATTGAAAGGATAGTGTTCTCCTTGTAAAACAGTTAAAAATGAGATTGAAAGGATAGTGTTCTCCTTGTAAAACAGTTAAAAATGAGATTGAAAGGATAGTGTTCTCCTTCACACATGGTAAAATATTTATACTTGTGGGGGGGGGGGGTATTTTTCTTTTCTTCTCACTTTTAGATGTTATAAATAGATATAGATATATAGAGAGAGCAAAGAGTGTGTTAACAGTAAAATCTCATGATGATAACTGTGTTACCGAAACTAGTCGGCTGAAACAACTATTAAAGACTTTATCTTTAATTGTGCCAAAACTTTGTTGTTGTTTTTTTTTACTCTTAATAGAAAAGAGTGGTTATTTCTGCAGATAAGGAACTGAACTGACGTATTAAGTTTGTATGTAGTTCACAGATCTACACAATGGACTATCTGTGCTGTGCCCAACACGGCTATAGAAACCCGGCTTCTAGGGTTTTAAGTCCGCAGACTTACATCTGTGCCACTAGGGGGTATTAAGAATGTTTTACTATATATAATCGATGAACTTCGTTTATGATCAATATGTCTTCCCGAATACGTTTCTTTATAAGTTCTTATCAATATGACAAAATGTATTACATTAAGATATAACTAACACACTTTATATATATAATTAACACACTTTATTGATCAGTTACTTGATTATGGACCACGTGAAGGTTAAGTAACTTCACTTGTAAGATTGCAATTATTCTTATTCACACTTTCTACAGATTAGATTGTTACTGAATACATTAGAAGTAAATTACAGCAACTTATACCTAAATATAACATGTTATTACAACATATACCTATAGATAATATGTTAGAGCAGCGTATACCTATAACCAACATGCTACAGCAACTTATAACTATAAGACAGCATGCTACAACAACTTATACTTAAAGACATGTTATAGTAACTTATGCCTATAAACAGCATGTTACAACAGCTTATGTCTATAGACAACATGTTAGAGCAACTTATGCCTATGAACAGCATGTTACATCAGCTTATGCCTATGAACAGCATATTACAACAGCTTATGTCTATAGACAACATGTTAGAGCAACTTATGGCTATATACAGCTTGTTACAGCAACTTATACCAACAGACAACATGTTACAACAACGTAGTTAATAAGCAGAGCGTATGAATTTATTTTTACAGTAAGATATACGAGTATTATGCATGTGTTGTGCTTAAGGATGAGAAATTAAAATAAAAAAATACGTCGTACTAGAAAAAAAGATTTTATCACTTAAAATATTTATAAGACTATAGAAAAAATAATGGATGGTTAAAAGCATGCATTATAGATCTGTGAATCTAAAAAAAGTACAAACTCATTTGTGAAATACCGATATGCAGTCTTAAAATTAACTATATTAAAAAAACTCGAACTTAATTCCTAAACTATAACTAATCTCTTACATAAACAACCTGATGAGCCACCGGAGAGAACATCAAGATGAAAAAACGTTTTTTCCAAATGTAAGTTATTTCTTCATTCAGATATCTGTCAGTTTGGGCTTTAGGCAAAAGGAAATTGTATAAACGAAATTAGTAATTTATAACACTAAAAACCGGATGTCGATACCCGTGTTGGGCATATCCTATTGTGTAGCGTTGTGCTTAACAACAAACAAACAGTTTAGAGTTGATAAAGCCACAGAAAAAATGGTTTTATTCAATAAAATAATGTTTCATATTGCCTTTAAAAACAAAATATTTTCCTATATCTAGAGGCGAAACAGTCTAGATATATTTACAACAGTTCAAGTCCAACAGCTGATGTTATATGGTTGTCTTATTTTCCATTTATGTACACAACCTCGCTTTAGGAATTTTAATTTCTTTCGATATAGAAATAAAACTTAATGTAAGACTAGCATCTCGTTTGATGCACATAATTTAAATACTTAATGAGTAAGTCCACGCTTGGCCTGGTTTCTTAGAATCGTTTTCAGTATCGCAGATGAATAATAAGAAAAATATGATAAACAAATCATGTACTTCAACCATTAGTGTCATGTGCCTGTGATCCTGTCATTGGCTGTTCTAGCTTTTGAGTAGATCGAAATATTATAGAGGGCGTTCGACTTGGCTAAGTAAGTTATTTCTGTAGTCTGGATGGATACTTTGATGTTTTTGTTTTCTTATAATTGAATGTATATTAATCATTGTTCCTATCCCGAAGACAGAATAAAAATTACCGTAATACTCGTGTGACGATATATTCTTTTATTATTATGTATATTATTTTCCTGGTGTAAAACAATCCAGTAAAATTACTTAGAGTTAGATCACAAGTAACCGAGAAATCGAACCGTTGACCGATAGTATAATTCAACTTAGTTGTACGTGATGAATTCAAATTCGATGACGAAGAACCCACTTTGAGACTAATAATGGTTGGAGACGGCTTGAATAGGTAATGAAGAAAAACTTTAATATAAGTTTAACATAACAGCAAATGTACAACGTTTCGACATGTTGTACATTCGATGTTATGTTAAACTTATA